ATTTATGTTTGAGACAGCATGAGACAAAGAGACAAAGGCCAGATGTTAAGGAGAAGAGGAAGGGAGGAGATGGACTTCTGCTTCATAAGTGACTGATTTTGTTCTTGCATACAAATACCCTTTCCTCTCTGAAGGGGGAAGGGTACACGCCCTTGAACGAAGGTTTTTGTTTAAACTTCTTTTGAAGCAGTTATTTAGATTCTAAGAATGTATTTTTAATGGAAGAAGAAATCTGGAAGAGGTTTTGAAAGCTTCTGTGGGGGAAAAAAAAAGGTACAGTTTTGCATTGTGCAGGTTTGTCAAAATGATCTCAAGAATTGCTGTTTTGTTTACTTTCAAGGCATCTTTTAAGCTAATCCGCAGTTGACTTACTTTTCAAGACACTGCTAAGAAGGGTGTGTTGGAGTTCAATTTAATATTTGCTGTCATGGGTGAGGTATTCGGGTTGGGAATCTTCCATTTGAATTCTCTAATAGTTGCCAGGTAATATATGATTGTCATCACTTGAAAAAGATGCTGCTTCTGTAGAGTGATAAAAAGCAATAAAATGTCTTCTCAGTGTGCTACTGTGTTCTTTCATCAACAAAAAAATTCTTGTTTTTTCTAGTGGTCTTCCTGCTATCCAGCTTCTTTCAGTTGCTGTGTCTCATGTGCCCTCTCCCCAGTGCAAATCAGCTACTGGTGGTTTAAAACCTCTTTTCTCCCATTGTAAGCACCTAGCCCATAGCTTTGCCAATTTTTTAATCAACTGAATGGCTTAAACTTCTGGGTTTCCTTCTCATGCCTTGTTTATAGAGCAACAACGTCTGAAAAGCTGTTGCAACAAAGTCAAGTTTGAGGGTCTTTCTGCCTCTCCGTGCCGTATCTATGGGTTAGGCTGTCACAGCACAGGCTGCAGAGGTGAACATTGTCCAACTCCTCTATCATCTCATTCTTATGTTGAGAAGGTAAAAGCGTTGCCATTATAGGGCAGAAAGATCTGCTCTCCCATTCCCCTTTGAAGTTAGTAACATAACTGTGGCTTTGGGAGTTGCAGGAGCCATTGAAGTGTCCCATTTTGGGGTGCTGGGGTTCAGGAGAAGTGTCCAAGTCAGTGTTAGTAGTCAGGGAGAAAAAGGCTGCCCATGTCAGGCAACCGGTGCTCTGGTAGAGTGCTTGCATCTGTGCTTGTCAGAGGGAATGGGCAATAGCAGAACCTTTTCTGGTTTGGTAATTACTATTATTTGGATTCCACACAGGGAACAGAGTAATGTCTGGCTTCTAAAATGATGATTTGACATAGCTACTTACTGCTTTTACAATTATTTTTTTTTAGTAATCTGTGTGTTTATATGGCCTGGGAATTTATCCATAATTTATCTATTATATGACCTTTTAGTAGTTCATTAATTGATGGCTTTGGCAGATAAAAAGGGAAAAAATTAGGCTTTCCTTTCATTTTTCATTTCTTTTTTAAGGAAAAGTCCTACTTCTCTCTTCCGTGTGTGAACTACTACTCCAGTGAAAGATGAGATCATAATATTTTGAAAATAATTGTCACTGTTTTCTGCAGTGTTCATTTTTACTGGTCCACTGCATATATTGAAGACTAATATTGTAAGAATAGCAACAGTATGAATTATGTGGTGGTACTTTCTTTTCATTTACTTCCCTAAAGTAAAAACTTCTCTTAATTAATTAATGCAAATTTGCCTTAGTTCTGTTTTATATGCTACATAGGTACATGTGCTTTTAGGAACTTCTACTAGCTCCTTAAAACAGATGGGGAGTTAGGTTTTGAAAATGGAGATTTTAATAAAACAATCTTACATGTTTTTTCCCAACCTGGGATATCTGTCACTGGTTTGAGTTTCTGAAGTGCTACAGAGAGAGCATCAGATGTGCTGGGCTTGTAGCATCATTAAAATAACTTTCTGTGTATAAGAGGTACAGTTATGTCTGATGATGTTAAAGGCATTTTGGTAAGAGTTGTTCTGATCCATTGTCTCTGGATCTCAATCTGATTACCTTCCTTATTCATTCACCTGAGGCTTTTTTTTTCTATTAGCCTTTATTAATTAGCCTTAATTAATACAATATTAACCTGACCTTGGTACCAGGGAAGGTAATGGAGCAGATCATCTTGAGTGTTATTAGAAGACATACAGATGATAACCAGGGGATCAGGCCCAGTCAGCATGGGTTTATGAAGGACAAGTCCTGCCTGATGAACCTGATCTCCTTTTATAACCTGATGGCCTGACTGTTGGACAAGGGAAAGGCTGTGGATATGGTCTATCTGGATCTCCAAAAAGCATTTGACACAGTTCCCCACAGAACTCTCATAAAGAAACTGGCTGCTCATGGCCTGGATGAGCATATGATCCATTGGATCAAGCACTGGCTGGACAGTCAGGCCCAGAGAGTGGTGGTCAGTGGAGTCAAATCCAGCTGGAGCCAGTCACAAGTGGTGTCCTCAGGGCTCAGTGTTGGGACCATTTCTGCTTCACATCTTTATTGATGATCTTGATAAGGACATAGAGTGTATTATCAGTAAGTTTGCAGATGACACCAAGGTAGGATGGAGTGTTGACCTGCATGAGGATAGGGAGGCTCTACAGAGAGACTTGGATAGATTGGATCATTGGGCTAATGTTGATGGTCTGGGCTTCAACAAGGCCAAGTGCTGGGTCCTGCACTTGGGCCATAACAACCCCAGGCAACACTCTAGGCTTGGAGACGTGTGGCTGGGAAGTATCTGGCAGAAAAAGACCTGAGGTTCTAATTGACAAGTGGCTGAATATGAGCCAACAGTGTGCCCAGGTGGCCAAGAAAGCCAATGGCATCCTGGCTGGTATTAGAAACAGTGTCACCAGCAGAAGTAGAGAGGTGATTGTCCCCCTGTGCTCAGCACTGGTGAGGCCACACCTGGAGTGTTGTGTCCAGTTTTGGGCACCTCAGTTCAAGAGATATCAAGGTGCTGGAGCGAGTGCAGAGGAGGGCAATGAAGCTGGTGAAGGGCCTGGAGAATAAATCTTATGAAGAACTCTTGAAGGAGCTGAGAATGTTTAGTGTGGGGAAGAGGAGGCTGAGGGGAGACCTCATGAGTCTCTACAACTACCTGAAAGGTCATTGTAGAGAGGTTGGTGCTGCTCTCTTCTCACAGGTCATTAGTGGCAGAACAAGAGGGAATGGCTTCAAGATGCAACAGGGGAGGTTTAGACTGGACATTAGGAAAAAAAAATCACAGAAAGAGTGGTTAGACACTGGAATAGGCTGCCCATGAAGGTGGTTGAGTCACCATCCCTGGGTGTTTTTAAAGGTCATTTGGATGTGGTGTTGGTGGATATGTTTTAAGGGAGAACTTTGTAGAGTAGGGATTATATTGGACTTGTTGATCCCAAGGGTCTTTTCCAACCTGAATAGTTCTATGATTCTAATCGTGAAGTGATATATTTCTGCTTTTGTTTTAACAAAATAGTGGATTCAATCAATATGCAGAACTGTCTTGTACAAATTGTTTTATCAATGTAATTTTAACTGTTTCTTTTAGGTTAATATGAATGTTTAATACATTTCTCTAGTAGTATTTGTTTTACTAATTCCTTGTAGGAATTTTGCTAGTGTTGTGAAAGTATTATGCAAGTCTTTATTTCTGTTGGTTCAATTCTTGCTCCTTCAGTAGTGAGTATCATGTGTTAACTGAATGGAAGTTGGCAATCAACTCCTTTATTTCTTCATATTTAGCTCATTGGAGAGGTTTGGCCCAGTGCTTCTTTTGCTGCTGATGTGTATTTTGAAAGTGCCCTTATGCAAGTACTTCAAAGGTTAGGGCTTTTTAAAGTGAAAAATACTGTTTTAGGCTTGTGGCTTGTATTAACCTTTTTTTCCTTGGTATGTTTTCATAAGACTAGTGTTCTAAAGTTTAGATTGTATATAATAGAAGTAATAATACCAGCTATTTACCCTTATGTGTAGATTTGCTGGTTTTATGCATTTCATAGAATATGGACTCACACTGTGTGTTTGTATATCACAGGTAAATTTTGTAAACCTTTAGTAGAAGTTTCTTCCTGAGTTTTCAGGAGGCCTAAACCAGGATTGACAAGGAATTCAGTACCTTGGTTTTGAGCAACATGTGCTTTTGCGGGGCTTTTTTAGTGGTTGGCCTGTGATTTGTTGGAACAGCCAAACACCAAAATCTGTTGTGTTATTTTGGCTTGGCAGAAGTAATGCAAAGAACTGTAAAAGGCAAAGAGTATGCAGAAGCTGTAATTTCCTTTTTACCACTGAAGAATAGATTTGGCTTGCTTATGCCTTCAGTGCTAATCTATCTCTGTGTGGCCAAACAGATTTTTTAAACCTTTTTGTAGTGTATTTATTTTTTGTTCACTTCAGGCCAAACGTTGCAGTGTCATATATTTTTTTGATGCATGCAGGGTGCTGTTATGAAAAAAGTTAGAAGGAGCTGGATTTAAGAGCTCTGATCTAGACTATTTAAATTCAGATTGCCACTTGATGCAATTAGGTCATAAGTAGCAAAACTCCTATGTTCAACTGCTGATTTATTTATTTTTTGCTTTACATTTTCCTTTAAAATTAAGGATCACGTTTAAAATTCTTCAGCAGTTCCAAAATAATATATTACAAATCTGGTCAGTGGTTTATACCTTTTTTGTTAATTCACTTGGCTATTTAGATAAACTTTAATTTCAGTCTTCCTTCTACCAGTAAGCATGTTTTGCTTTCTACACTATTTTAACAAAAAACACATTTCCTCTTCTGATTGTAACAGGGCTACGCTCCTTAAGCCTTCTGTCAAAGCTAATGATTAGTAACATTTCTGTCTTGAAGCATTAATTTGATACGTTTAACATAATATCCCTTCCTTCTTTGCCTGAACATGTTTGAATGTCTTCAGTATTTCAAAATGATGGGACAGACATACTCAGGCTTCTATGGCTTTTATTTAGAACAAAACAGTTAAATGCTTCTTTCTACTCTCTTTTCCCGCTGTGCAGATGACAGCATCTCAGCTGCAAGCACATCTGATGTCCAGGACCGTCTTTCAGCCCTGGAGCTGAGAGTGCAGCAGCAAGAAGATGAAATCACTGTGCTAAAAGCAGCATTGGCTGATGTCCTCAGGCGTCTTGCTATCTCTGAAGACCATGTAGCTTCTGTGAGAAAATCAGCACCAAGTAAAGGTAAGCCCATATTTGATAAACTCTTTCTAGAGTCAGATTGCTGTAGTTTCAGATGTTCTCCACTGATCACCACTCTTTTCCCTTTTCATCTCATTTGGAAAAGCTGGGGTGGTGTTTTAAGAATGGCCTTATAGTATATGGCTAATAGAGATCTCAAATATGCTTATTAATTTTTATGTTTGCTAATATTTTTATGTAATTTGCATCCCTGAAACTGCACCTTACTTCTTGTTAAAAGGTTCCTGGTTTTATTTGAATGGTAAAATGCTTTACAGCTGCAGATGTTAACCTGCCACTGGTGGTCTGGGGCTTATGGGCATCTCTGAGTCTCAGCTTTGACTTCACATAGAAGCTATTCAACAGAAGGGACATATTAAAGGCTACATTTCCCCATACTCCTAAATGAAAAACAAAACAAAAAACCAAAAACACATTGCCACCAAATAAGGAGGTTTTCTGAATATAATTAATTTATATTCAACTCGCCACCAGTAGGTTTCTTGTAAGAAGTGGCCAAGTAGCCACTCAGCAATATCCTTGGCTAGAGGCTAGTGAATTTGACATTGCAACTTTGAAATATATATCACTGTTTAAATGTGAAACTATGTTATTTACACTAATGTTTAATTTTTTTTTCCCTATGAACATTTTAATTCCAAAAAACTATTTGAATCAAGTTATTTGAATTTACTCCAATTTAAAATTCTGTATTCAGAGAGAACAATGGCCATGTGTATTTGTGGTATATATCAAGCCTGTGATTAAATAAAAGGTTAGGTCATATTTCAGATAATTTACAGTTCTAATTCATCAAAAATGCATGTATCCCCACCAAACCATGCAGTGCAGTGTTCTGTGGGCTCAATTCCTGTATTTCAGCCATGACGCCAATGCCAATATAACACTGGATTGACAAATCACAGCCTATTGTTGTTTGAGTGGCCACATTATACCAGCTGAAAATGCAAAAACTGAAAATGCTGAAAGTTTGAATTATTTTAGATGTGGCAGAGAGATCAAATCCTTCTTTACATGTTTTTGCAGTCTCTCTGCCAGATGGAAGGAAGTGATGATGCTTAATTGGCTCAGGCTCTGAATCCTGCCATTCTCTATTCCGTGCTAAATGGTTGACTGTTGTCATCCCTGCTTATAAATGCAGCTTTTATCTACCCAATATCCATCTCACCAAGGTGGAAACTTCCTTCTCTAACTCTGTGTGAATAGAACTCTAGCAAATATTTTTACTAAATCGATCTTTGTTGTCTGCTATTATGACAATAAGAAAACATCCAGGTAGGAAAGCTGTTGGCAGAATGCGTGCAACATAGGATTTTGTTCTTCCAGTTTAAATGCACAGGAGCTGGTATGTGCACAAACATTGCTGAAGACCTTTGGCATGGAGCTAATACCCAGCAAGCTCCATGAACAGGCAAATTTACTGTCTTTTTCAAAAGGCCTTGGGACCAACCTCCTTACTGGGACCTTGAGGGTCTTGGGGTATAGTGAGATCTCCAGGTGAATTTGTTCAGTGAAAAATAAATTAACTGAGGGGGTGTGTGTGTGTAACATCTGAGTATGTTCAGCTTTGTGCTGTTACATCTCTACCGATAAATGACAAGAGCATGTAACTGTGAAGAGACAGATGGGAGCTGTGGCAGAGACATGCATGTATGAGCTAACACCTTGAACTGAAATGAGTTATGACTAATTTGCACTGTATTTAATTTGTAGTGGATGTGTCCCCATTGTGTTCAGTTACCCAACACCACCAGACAACACATTAACTTTACTGTTCATCATTAAATCAGCTGCATTTAAATTTTATAAAGAAGTCACAAAAGAAAATGTTCACATAGTCACTAGAATTTTGTAGAAGTCTAAAATTAGACTTTAAGGATGAGGTTGAGATTGATACTGATTTAAACTTAGGTGTCAGTATTAAATGCTTCAAAACAAGTTTGTACATAGCCTTCTGAAATGCCTTAGGTTCTACTTTTTATTTCTGTATTTTAAGTTAATTCAATACATAAATAACTCTTGATATGTTTTAACAAAGAATGTATTACTTCCATGAATGTGTAGGATTGGCAGAAGGTCTGAATTGTCATACAGAGATAATACTCAAATAATTGTTAATTTTTCTTTGAAGTATTTTACGGCTGCATAACAGGCTCTTGCTAGTCAAGTCATGGTTGCTGTGAAGGTTATTATACTTCTTAAAATCTTTTTGGTGTTCGTGATCTTGTCAAGAATCTGGGTTTCTGCCTTACAGTAATTGCAGTTTTGTGGCAAATATTGTAGTTTGTTGGTTTGTTTTTTTTTTAAAAAAGTGCTGAGGCGTTAATTCACAGTATTTGTCTCTGCAGCGACCGTTAAATATGTGCTGACATCAATATAAGAGAATAGATGTAAATATGTTTCTGAATACATTGAAGGAGATGGGTTTCATTTGAAGTATAGCAACACAGTAAGAGAAATGCTTTTAAAATAAACTGAACTTAAAAGAATCTTAGTACCAGAAAAAGCCATCTTGAGTCTTTCTGTCAAACTTTAATCTGAGTAGGAGTCAATATCCACCCAAGTTTGAAGGAATCTTTCCTGCTTGCTGCTGAAATGAGCTTTCTAAAACCTCTCCATTTCTTTTCTTTTCTCAGCAGTGTCTTTGAAAAACAGTTTTTCATAGGCTAAAAATAATTGTTGTGAACAGTCTGTAAATTGTTCTGAAAGGCACAAATCCCAGTCTTTTTTACTGATTTTTCTTATTCTGAATTTGATGGCCCAACTTGGTGCAAAAAGAGAGAGATCTGTGTCCATTGTGTTAGTTTGTCTGCCTTGCATATCCGGTGAGTTAATTCTATTTGTTTGTTTGTATTGTTGTGTTTTGTTGGTTGTTTTTTTTATCCCTTTATTTTAGATTGACAGATTGAATCAACCATAGCTATATTTTTTGGTAGTCTTTAGTTTTCTTTTTTCCTACATTTCTTTTTTTTCTAATCTCCAGTAGGGATTGCAACACATTTAGCACTTGTCTGATATTTCAGTGAAAAGCAGACTGAAAAAAGTGGCTTTATTTTTTCCTCTTTTTTCCTCTTTTTTTCCTCTTCTCAGTGCAAAGTTATTCTAGGGACAATCTTCTCAAAATAGAAAGGCTACAATAGTACTTCTCCATCTCTGCACAAAGCTAAGGATGACTATGCAAAGCAGAAATTACTGGGTCCAAAGATAGTGTTGAGGATTCTTAGAAATGTGAAAGGGCTTGATTAGGGAACACGTCCCCAACAGGTACAGGTTTGGGGAGGATTGTAGTGTGAGAGTGTGTTTGTGGATTGTCTTTTTCCATTCTTTCTCTCATCCTTTCTCTCCTTTTTTTAATAGATGGCTTGGTAAGAAGAATTGCTTTGGTGTGAAGTTCTTTGCTTTTGGCAGCTCTGTGCTCTTGTTGCCACATATCTCTTCTCTTGATGCATGATTGATGTTGTTAACATTCACAAAAAGTTCCAAAACCAAAGATTACCTGGACACTGAAGAAAAGGAAAGCATAAAGCAGTCTGGTACTTGTGGCTGCCAGCAAGATAGATTGGCTCACAGCTGGTGCCTGGTAAACCTATTAAAATCTTCCAGAGTGTCAAAATGTGTGTAACAGGAGAATTCATCCCTCAGGCTCTGAGTGTGGAGACAAGTTTGTGGCACACAATGGCACCAGTAAAATATCTCAGACTAATCATACCACTGGGCATGAGCTCTTGCCTGAAAAAAAAGTGGCCATCTACCAGAAAGTCCATCTGATGTCTTTCTGTAGAGAAGCAAAAAGTTCATGTCCTTTTTCTGGACTCAGAAGTAATAGGGAGGCTTGTCACAGGTTAAAACTTTGGAGGAACAGTTCCTGTTGCCTGGAGAAGAATTGGTATCAAATAACCTGTATGCTAATTAAGCTCACAAAGCGAAATTAAAGCAGTGGGTGGCAGTTTGCAGAGAGAGTCTCCCATGACAGTGCAGGCTGGCAGAGCAAGAGGTGTTTATTTTACTTTTAAGCAGTAATCTTGGGTATCTGCAAAGGCAGCTATGACTATGTATTGGAAATGCAGACTTTTTATTATTTTATTATTATTATTATTATTTGTGCAGTGGGTTTTTGCAATAGGAACCTGGAAAGTTTCCTTGCTTTCCTGCTCCCTTTGCTGCTGTGAAATAGTGTGCCTCCTCAAGGTCTCTTCAGTTAGAAAAATGCTAAGTATTATCTTGCATTATATTCCATCTCGTTACACTAATGTAAGCAAGGCACTTCAGATAAAATTTTTACCTTAACAGTGGTTTCATTTCAGTAACATTATGTAATTTTGTATTAATGAAAATTGACTATGTTCAGCAAGCTTCATTAATGAACCCATAAGATAGACTCATTTGTGGTTTTATTCTTTGCATATTTTAATGTGCAGAATTGTTTTAATAACTGGGTACGTATTTCTTGTCTAATCAGTAACTACTAAAGGAACAGAGAATAGAAGTATAGGAAGGAAAATGCTTATGGTAGAGGTAGGATATAGTATCATATCCATGTAATTAACCTGGCAAGCCTGTATGTGTGTCATTTTACTCATGGGAATAGTCCAGTTGAATCTGCAGGCTGTATGCTCTCACAGCAAATAACAATACTCTTAAGGTCTTAATGGGTTTTCCAGGCACTGGGTCTAGTGCCATCTGTTTTTTCTGCATTAAAATTAATTTTTCTGCATTTCTTCCCATTTTTCCCCGATCTTCTCTTCTTTAATATATATTTTTTTTCTTCTGTTGAACTTACTATTCTTGATCTTAACATATTTCCCTTTATTTGAAGAATTTGGATCTAGAGGGCACTTCAGAGGCTGTAACCAGCTGAACTAAGTTTAAGGAAAGAGAAATGAAGAAGGATGTACTTTTTTACTTCTGTAACCTGATAATTTTGTTCATTGAAGAAGATATTCAGAGCATTGTAGATGAGTGTTTTTCAGCTGTAGTGATAA